GCCCCCCCCCCCAAATAAGAACATTTAAGAGAGGGGCCTTGTGTGTCTGGAGGTTTAAGGCTGTCCCCAATCCCAGTAGCCTTGCTTGCAGAACAAGAGGCAGTGCTGCTAGGTTGTTTGGGGGGAAAATATTCCCCAAAATCGGTGGTTCCCTTAATTTTATGTTGGGAAGAGTGGTTATGACCACTGTCCAAGTTTCTGCTCTGTTTCGTTTTTAGGCCAGAGGCACAAAGTACAGTGCAAAATCTGAAAGCCGCCTGCAGGGTGGGGAAGCCAACTTACCCATTTCTGCACAGTTTCCTATAATCTTCAAGGGTTCTTTTTTCCTTTAATAAATAACTGAAATGTTCAGAACACTGGATTTTAGGCTAGGTACCAAAACCTGCACATAGTCTTTGCATGTACACCCATGTTTGAGAATTCTGTGCTTACTCTATGAATGTTTGAGAAATCCCGGCTTTAGAAATGCAGCACTGTGTTGCTTTTGGATTTGGCTCTTCCTTAAAATGAATGCTTATGGCAACCTTTTCCCAGCCTTCCTTGACTCCCATAATTCCCAACCCACATTTGGTCTTTCACACCAGCTCTTCATTATGGTAGTTGAAGTCCCACACATCTGGAGAGCAGCAGGTGAAAACCGTGGGCTGGGATATAACTTATGCAAAAGCCTTTTGTTTGGTAGCCTGTTACATGATTCTGTTCCCTCTCTCCTGGCAGCTGGAAGACACATTGTGGGCAGGCCTAACCGATCTACATATCCAGACCCCTATGGGTGTCACAGCTGAAAATCTTGCTGCAAAGTATAACATTACAAGGGAAGAATGTGACCGTTATGCCTTGAAGACACAACAGAGGTGGAAAGCTGGTCAGTAAAAATATGAAAGAGCACTGATTCATTTCAAGTGGAGACTTAATTCTCACAGCAGCAGATGAGTTGATATCTGGATTGTACTTCTTAAAGCTGCAGTTGGGGACTAGGATGATGGGATTATCTTTTAGGAAGAAAACTAGACGTTAGAGAAAAGATGTAGGAACATTTTCTCTCTGCCTTTTAAACATAAATTTTAACTGGAATGTTTGATATGTGAGGAAATACCTTTTAACCAATATCTGTGTATATTTGTTTTAGTTTTAGTATAAATGGGGCCCATGAAACCTAAGTAATGTTGTCTTACAATCTGTGTTTGGAGAACAATTGAATTAGGTTGCTAGCTACCATAATTAGCTGAAGAGTAATGCTTTAGAGAGGGGGAAGCAAACTCCAGTCTGGGGGATTTGAGCATTTGAGTTCTTGAGACACAAATGACCAGGTTCAAATTATCCTACTTCAGACACATTATGTGAAGACCTAGCTCTCTGGAGAAGGCTCTAATGCTGGGAAAGGGTAGAAGGAAAGAGAAGAAGAGGAGGACCAGCAGCAAGGTGGATGGACACAGTTACAGTGGTGATGCACGCACCATAGGGAGACTTGAAGGAACAGGTTAGGAATAGATCATCATGGAGAAAGTCTATCTATGTGGTCGTTAGGAGTCAAAAACAAGTTGATGGCACATAATTATTTTTTTTAAGTTTTAGTAAAAAATACTAAGTTTTCACTAAAACTTCTAAGATCCATAAATCAAAATCAGATGAAAAAGAATTAAAGAACTTTATGCTTAGAAGATTGATATTTAGATCAGAACCCTTCCAACCCTTCCACATAAAAATATACCATTAGGTACTCCAAGCTCTCTTCAATTCAGCAATGTAATTTAGAGGGAAGGCGTAATTTTATTGTAGCTGTGGTTAAATTATGAAAGTCATACTTCCCTTCTCATTCCACTGTAAAATATACAGAGACCTACACTAGATGTCAGTTGACTTTCTACTCAGCCCTGCTTACAGTCTTCTAGTGCAGGGTTTTTCAAAGTGCTCTGTGGAACCCTACAGGCAAAAACAAATAAATAGATTAAATAAGTAAGTTCACTCAGTGTCAGCCAATTTTCTATCACTAAAGCTTTGCCTCTTGATCAAGAATTCCAGATTTATTTATTTTTTAACTAGCAGGTTCTAATGCCTGAAAATGTTTGAAAGGCCTTATACTTGTCAGCAGAAGGAGGCTACCATCTTCAACATGGTGACGTATCAAGGCTGGCTCGTGTCATTTTTGTGGCTTGAGATGAACCAGAGATGGTGCTCATGGTGTGTGACATAGAAACTATTACAAGCACTTCTTTCTGTCCCTGATGGTGAAAATATAGTAAGAATAAGATAAATAGCTAATGATTTGCTGTTCTTTCAGCACGTTTAAATTTTATCTAATGGCAGTGCTGGCCCTGGATGTATGATTCCTGAGGCAGTTGGTATATTGGCCCTCTCAAGTATGTTCCCACATATTTTGGCAAACCAGCCAAGTATCTGAACTGACTTGCTAAATCGTCTTCTCTGTGAGAAGTTTATGTTAACTAGTCTGTTACATAATCTCCCATGACCCCTTGGTATTGGCTTTTTTACATTCATAGCTCACGAAGCAGGACATTTTAAGGCTGAGATGGCACCCATTGAAGTGAAAGTTAAGAAAGGCAAACAGAGCATGGAACAGGATGAACACCCCCGGCCTGAGGCAACGTTGGAGCAGTTGGGGAAGCTCCCTGCAGTCTTCAAGAAGGATGGCACTGTCACAGCAGGAAATGCCTCGGTGAGCCTTTCCTCTCTTGTTTTATCATTTCAGAAGTCTGGGCTGAAGTTTTTCAGGAGCTCTAGTCCAATTACTAAGCTCTTTTTAATGGCATCTCTCTTCAAATAGGGGGTCATCTTTGCCTTAATTAACTAGCCACGTAAAAAATGTCAATTGGTTACAAAGGTTCCTTGGGTGAAGTAGTGTGGGGCAGCTTAAAAAAAGCCTTTCTACTTGCACTCTATGATTTCTACAAACTTGTAGTTTTTGAAAAGATGACAATGCTAATTCTGCAAAATTATGTCTCAAGGAGTTTTTGAGTAATTCCTTTGGAAAACATGGTCAGCCTTCCCCAAATTAGAACTCTTCAGCAGGGTTGAGACAACTGTTCCTAGAAGTCTCAGGCAGGAGAGCCATTGATATTAAGCAGATGCTAGAATCCACTCTAGTAATGACATTCATGAGAATTGCTTAAGAATAGCACAGAGAAACAGATCTTTATTGATCCCTTCACGTAACTTATCCTAAAAGTGAAGATCCGCAGCCACAATTTTCTGCAGTCAAGAAAACTAATATACTAAGAAGAAATATTTCAGTTGTTTTAGTCCGTTGTGGTGCACTGAAACAGAACGGCATTGAGTGCCTATATTTTGTTTGTTTGTGATCCTATAGCACTGCTTTTCCACATTCAAGAATCTCCAAATTCTCCCCCAAGATTCTTCTTTGTTTAGATGTTTCTAGATGCCATGCATCAAAAGCAGGAACTAGGAACATACATCTGGTTGGTCCATTGCTAAAAATGTGGGATCAATCATATTTTCCTATTGAAAAACATTTCTGTTTTCTAGATATAGGATGTGACTTGGTTTGCAGTGGATACTGGAACCTTGTTGGCTGAAGAACTGGCTAAAAATGCCTAAATAACATAAAACTTCATTTAGGATGATGTTACCTACTTGGGTAATGAAATATCTGCAAGAAAACCACCAAGCTCAGAGAGCACCAAGGACTCTTCAGTTCAACCCTGAGCTACATATATCCTCTTCTACTGAAACCTTCATTTTGCTGCTCAAATTTCAGTTATATCACTATTCTGATCAATACACCCTACCACAAAACCTGATGGATTTGTTTTATTTTTCAGTTTAATTTTATGGTACAGCAGCATAACCTCATCCACCCTTCCTCAACCTGTGCCCTTCCCAAGGCATTGGAAACTGGAGTTTCCAAAATTCCCAGTCAGCACATACAAAATCCCAGCACACTTAAAAGATGCCATACTGGAGAATGTTAACTTAGATAACGTCTTCTTATCACTTCAGCTTCACTGTGACCCCATTGGTGTGTTCTTCAGCAACACGTTTTTTCCCCCCAGCCTTGATGTCTGGTGTTCTTCTGTTGCTAGGGTGTGTGTGATGGGGCAGGAGCACTGATCGTAGCAAGCGAAGATGCCGTAAAAAAGCACAACCTTACTCCCTTGGCTAGAATTGTTAGTTATCACTCAGCTGGATGTGACCCTCACATCATGGGCATTGGTAAGTGACAAAGGAAGTACTTTTCTGCTGATTGATCAAAGCATTTCCCATCCCATGCATAAAAGATCCTGTAACTCCCCAGTTGCCGGCAACAGCATGAAAACTCGTCTTGCTTTAGCTGGAAATGGATACATCCAGATGCCCTTTGCTCTTTTTGTTTTCTTTGTCCACCATTTCATTCAAATAAGTAAACAAAATATTAAACAGAAAAAAAGGTTAATAAAATAGCAGGCTGTTGCTGTGCAGAGAAGGAATGTCCTTGCTGATGTTAGTATCTTTAATGTGGTTTAGTTCGGGACTTATACACTGGAGAAGCACAGAAGAGGAAAGTAGTTTGTGAAATTCAATCGTGAATAGGTGATAGAATAATCCCAGCATGGAAGAAGGAGATGACAAGTTTTTACTGGTAGATTCCAGGTGATACCCAGTAGCTGTATATTCAGGGTGATGGAAATACTTTTTCAAGGATGTTAAAATTCCTCTCTGAGGTTGGAATTGTGAGCAGAGGATTATCTGAATTCTATTTGTTTTGGTTATCCAGATAATTTGGACATCTCCCTTGTTATCAACTGATGCAGTAAATATAAAGTGTGGAAAGGTCTAGGGGAGTATATTAGCTCTGCAAAATGTGGTCTCTGTTTTTTTCCTTCTTCTTGGTGCAGATATTTTTCTTGGGCAGGTACTATCTGACCCGGGTAGTGGGCTATGGCAACCAGGCAGGGTCATCTTAAACCTGAAGCGGAATTCCTGGGAAAAATGGATTCCAACCAGATTTACCCTTTTGTTTCGCATGAAAGCAAATTAAGTCCCACTAGCCGTCAGATCCTTCAAATAATCAACAGCTATGTTGATTATCTTTGTATTGTCAACTTAATCTTGTAAGCCCCCCTTTTGTTCTTTTATGAAAATAAGCATATAAATCTACTACTACTACTACTACTACAAGTATTTCCCATATAAGACATCTCCCCTTGCATCACATTGAAAGCTATGATTCAGTGGCAGCTTTTGGAGGTCCAGCCTGGGGGCTGTAGAAGTAATGGGCCACCCTCCATTTATTGCTTATCCATATATGTTTCTGCATAGGTCCTGTGCCTGCTGTTACTGAAGCACTGAAGAAAGCTGGCCTTTCTCTGAAGGACATGGATTTAGTTGAGGTAATGGCCACTCATCAAAAAGCATATACTCAGACAATAGTTTATTGTGGCATTCAGTATAATTATGCAGTGCAACAAGAAAAATTCTGAATTTTCTCTATCAATATGTGTTAAGAGTACCAATATTTGTTCCTGGAGGCTGTCATCCTGAAAGCAGCTTTCAAACCTTAGACCTGAGTTTTCCTATCGCCATATAAACTCTGGAGTCAGTGTTGCCCTAGGGCAGTGATATGTCCTGCAGGGTATAGAATTTATCTTTTTTGCATGGAACCTTGAGATGATCAGTGATTAATAGTTCAGCTTTCCTGAACTTTCTCTGCCTTCTCTGTAGTCCTGAGAGAGAGTCTGAGAATTTTGTATAACAATTGCATAGAAATAATGATTTCCACTCCCAAAGTAAGTTCTACAGTTCAGTCTCTAGTGTCATGCAAAGTAAAATGGACAAATATAAGGCATTTATACTTTGCCCATGTGATCTTTACTCAGAACAGCATTTGGCCTTTCTTGGAAAAGACTCAATACTTCTGGCAAATTTTACCCATTATATGATCCTGGTTGGTTGGTTGGTTGGTTTGGTTGGTTGGTTTTTTAACATACGATTTTGATCAGTGATCTCTCCTGTCCCCAAGGAAAACTGCATTCCCCATTGCTTTTTTCAGATACAAGAACCAACGTCAAGGATAATTCTAACCAGCATATCATAGCAGCCTAACTTGGGGTATTTCTAACTTGCCTGTCTGTGATGTGTTTCCAGGTTAATGAAGCATTTGCTCCACAGTACTTATCAGTAGAAAAGGTTCTGGGTCTGGACCCAGAGAAGACCAACGTCAATGGAGGAGCCATCGCTTTAGGTCACCCTCTAGCTGCTTCGGGCTCCAGGATCACCGCTCATCTGGTTCATGAACTAAGGTGGATAAATACCTGAAGAAAACTTGTTTTGTTTCTTCTGAATATTCTGGGAAGAATATTTAGAGAGAGTGTAACTCAGACACTGTGGATTTGCTGTACATTGCAAAAAATATCAAGTCGACTCCCTGGCATTTCAGTGAAAAGTACCAGGGAGGGAAAATGTGAGAAAAATCTGTGGCTGAGATCCTGGAGACTATCTGCTAGTCAGAGTAGACAATCTGATGAAAAACATGGCTGGTCTCTTTGTATTCCGACCACAAACTGGGAAGTTTGAAGCCCATCTTACCTGCAAGCCTCATCACTTTACTATGGTGATGGATGGCTGAATATATGAACTGTTCAGTTGTTGTAAATGTTCATCTGATTATCTCCCCAAACGAAGAACTTGTAGACAACTTTCTTTTAAAAAGGAATTTCAGGGTCCTTACTTCCAAGACTTCTTTTGCGTCTCACATCATTCCAACCAAGGAATGCATCTGAAACACATTGCCTGTCAAACAATAGAAAAGATTCACTATTATTTTTTTTCTTAATCATCCCAATCTTTGCACAAAACCCCTTGCATGTTTGAAATTCAGCAGGAATTCTGCCTGCAAAGGTAACCTTATTCTTTGTAAGAATAGCAAAGCTCTTGAGAGGTCCAGCTCTAGTACCTCTTAACTGTCATTCTCCATTTTGTCTGAAAATTCCACCCCATTCCATTAAAAAGCATTTAAAAAAAAGCCACCGCCACTTGTGGGGTTCCCATGTCAGTCATTAGAAGCCTTGAGTTGAATCAAGCAACCTTCGATTCAGTTTGAGGCAAAGCGAGCTATTTGCTAAATCACTGAAGTAGATTCACATGTGGCCTTAAGTCTCTGTGCCATATTAGGAAGCTGTTTTCCCAGCCACATTGAAGTGTTGCTGTCCTGTGGATCAGCTGTTTTTCTCTGTGACATACGTGTATGTGCATTTTCCATGGTTTCCTCTAGATCTCAAAGCAGTGGATAAATCCCATGACATTTTCTGTCCAGCTCATTTGGAATCTAGAAGAAATTAAGGGGTAAGCCTAATGTGGGGTTCAAAGATCTTGTTTGTAATCCCTTTTCTCTTGGTTTATTGTAGGCGCCGTAGAGGTAAATATGCTGTCGGCTCTGCTTGCATTGGAGGTGGCCAAGGCATAGCTGTCATCATTCAGAATACTGCCTGAAGGACAACCTAGAGTCTGCAGTGATTTAACACTGCATCCTCTGCCGACTGTTACACAATCAATTGAAGAAATTAAAGAGACCATTATAATTCTACTTTTGTGCACAGACTGGTAGTAATCATCTAGCAAAGTGAAGCCCTGTGCTAAAATCTGTTTTTTAGAGAAAGTAACAAGATAACCTTTAACTTGATTGTGTGGATCTAGCCATAATTTTTATTGATCCATTACCTCCCACAGAATTCAATTTAGATTTTTCTAATAGAAATGTTCTTGGATAAATATTTGGCAGCCAACAATTAGAGCAAAACGAACCTACAGCTTGATATTCTTATCAGTATTTCTTCCCAGGCTGGTTTCTGTGCTCAGTTAATATAATTTGATGAGGAGTTCAGCACTGGCATAAAGGACATGGTTGGGTCTGATTTTAGCTTGAAGAACTTTGCTGTTAAACAATAGGAACGAAGTCTGACAAAAATCAGTGTGCCTCTCTAAAAAAATAAAATGATACTGAATTAATCCAAAGGATTTTAGTCTGGATTTCTGTAAAGTTTCTACCTGAAGAGTGTCACTGATGATCTCTGGTGGGTCATAATCAGAGGCTTTTGGATTTTGTGAACCTTCTCTTTTGCAGAAAAGTGGGTGATCTACTGCAGGGATCCCACCTTGATTGGAAAGACACTCCCCAGTTCTTGGGCCATTTCATTGCTCCTGCAATAAAAGATTAAAAAAGCACATTTGGGAATGGCTGAAAGGCAGTTTTGGAGTCCAAGTTCTCTCATTCCAGGAAAAGCCTCTGGAATATAGAAAAAAATGACGCCAACTCTGGGTTTGGCATAGTTGTTTTTTCTTTTTCTTGGAATCAGTGAGGAAGGGGGGAAAAGATCAGCAAATAAAGGAAAGAGAAAAAAGTGGGGCAGGAACAACTACCTGCTCTTTCTCTCTTGCTGATGCAAATTCAAAAGGGCTTTAGAGCAGCAGGATTTCCAGCAGGCCGAGTTACGGGGATTTCTGGGCATTGCTCAGTGTGCAAAGTATTTTCAAAGGGGTTTTTTTATTATTATTAAAGCATATTACTCCAAATGCATGTGAAATGAGATAGGCTTTTTTAGAGAAGGGAGCGATAGTAGTAGTTTCATTTATGCACTTAACACCTAAGCACAGTGATTGGTTGATTATGTGCCATCAAGTTGGTGTTGACTCTTAGTGGTCACATAGATAGACTTTCTCCGTGATGATCTGTCCCTAACCTGGTCTTTCAGGTCTTATAACGGTGCCCCCATCACCATTGTAACTGCTTGCTGCTGGTCGTCCTCTTCTCTTTTCTTCCACCTTTTCCACCATTAGAGACTTTCCCAAAGAGCTGGGTCTTCGCATCATGTGTCCAAAATAGGATAATTTGAGCCTCGTCATTTGTGCCTTGAGTGAGAAGTCCGGGTTGATTTGTTCAGTGATCCATCGGTTTGTTTTCTTGACTGTCCACAATGTTCTCTGGAGTCTTCTCCAACACCATAGTGCAAAAGCATCAATTCTCTTCCTATCCTGCTTCTTCAAAGTCCAACTTTGACTTCCATAGAGTGTCACAGGGAATACTGTTGCTTGAACAGTTCTAATTGTAGGCATAGACACATTCTGGCAACTGAATGTCTTCGAGTCTTAAATGCTACCCTACCAAGCATAGAGCCTGCCGTATTTCTTGCTGGTTCCTTTACTGTTGATAGTTGATTCTAAAAGGCAGAAGCTCTCCACCACTACAGTATCTTCACTGTCAATTCTAAGGCTGGTGGTTCTACTTACTGTCTTTTTTTTAATTAGTATTTTTCAGTGCAGTGAAAGTATACAAAATTAAAAGATTAAGAAAAAAATAGAGCAGATGGCAGTTATGGCCACAAGGGCCTTTGCTCGCCTTTGGGTGGTGCGTTAATTACGCCCCTTCTTGGATCAGGAGGCTCTCCAGTTGGTCACTCACGCCCTGGTCATCTCTCAGTTAGACTATTGCAATGTGCTGTACATGGGGCTACCCTTGAAGAGTATCTGGAAGCTACAGCTGGTTCAAAATTCAGCTGTGTGGATGATATTAGGTGCCCCTAGGATGGCACATGTAACACGTTTGCTGCAGGAGCTTGCTTCTGGGTCCAAGGTGTTGGTTATCACCCTTAAAGCACTACATGGCATGGGTCGAGGTTACCTGAGGGACCGTCTCAACCCCATCATATCAACCTGTCCCACCTGGTCAGGCAGAGAGGGCATGTTGCAGATCCCGTCAGCGAGGGAATGTTGGCTGGCAGGGCCCAGGAAGAGAGCCTTCTCTGCTGTTGCCCCCGCCCTTTGAATATTCTCACCCCAAAGGTGCAGCGGGCCCCTACCCTCCCGGCTTTCGGAAAAGGTTTAAAGACCTGGCTCTGTCAGCATGCATGGGGTGATATGGGCTCTTCCCGTCCCTGGGGGCGGTTAGCCCCCTGATGATGCTCCCTGGAGTTACCCGCCAATGTTCCATCCTCTTGGAACCTTTTTATTTGTAGAATTGTTTGTATGTTGTATTTTAATGAATTTTTATCTTGTAAACCACCCAGAGTCGTTTCACAAGATGGGCAGTGACAAATTCGATAAAGAAATAACTAAGGGGAAAATGAAAAAGGAAAGAAAACAGAAGTGTGACTTCTGCCTTTCTTCCTGTAGAGTAATTGCCGTCTTATTCTTTCTCTTCCTCTCTGACTCTTTTTAATCCATAAATCATCAATTCAGTCTTTTCTTCTTCCAACAAAAAGTCCATATAAGGCTTCCAGTCTTTTAAAAAAGTCTTGATCATTTTTTCCCTGACCAAACTGGCCAGCTTTGCCATTTCCACAAGCTCGGTCAATTTCATAATCTAATCTTCTACTGTGGGTATTCCATTATTCTTCCATCTTTATGCATACAATTATCTTGCCACAGTTACCATATACAATATTAGTTTCCCATATTTATTCTCTAGTTCATTATCCATAACACCCAATAAAAATAATCCCGGTTTCATCATAATATTAATCTGCAATATCTTTTGCATCATTGTATGAATTTGCACCTTCTTTTCACACTTCCAACACTGGTTTGGTATTCCTTTATACATTTTTGGCAGTTTAAACCGCTGTCATATACCACCAATACATCATTTTATAAAAATTCTCTCTTAAATTGTGACACAATGTAAATTTAACACCAGTTTCCCACATTTTCTCCCATATGTCCATATTTATATTATAACCCAGTTTTGCAGCCTATTTAACCATATATTCTTTAACCTGTTCATCCTCTGTTTCAAATCTTAATAACAATTTATACATTTTTGCTGTTATATGATCAACATTCGTACATAACTGTACTCCAAATTGATTGTTTTACCTGCTGACATTAGTTTGGTCTTCTTTATATTTAATTTTGCTCCCATTTTTTCACTGTGCTCTTTGACTTTTAGCACTAGGGTTTGCAGATCCTTGACATTTTCAGCTGTCAGGATAGTGTCATCAGCATGGTGCAGGTTATTGATGCTTCCACCTTCAATTTTAAAACCATGCTCATCTTCTTCCAACCCAGCTTCCCTTAATATATATTCAGCATGTACTTTGAATAAATAAGGGGAGAAGATACAGCCTGGTCACACTCCTTTGCCAACCTGGAGCCAGTCTGTTTCGCCATGTTCTATCCGGTCTGTGGCTTCCTGACTTGTATATGAGCTTCTCATGAGGACAATGAGACGTTCTGGGATACCCATTTTTCTGAGCACTTTCCACAGCTTGACATGATTGACACAATCAAAGGCCTTTTTAAATTTTTATAATCAGCACAGTACAGACAGAATATATCAACAATTGATACAATATATTACAATTAATTATAACATGGCTCTGAGTATAATTCTGGGAAGAGTCTGATGTGACTACACTGTAGAAACAAATCCTGGATGGATAATCAGCATAAAAATCAGCAGGTCTTTCAAATATCTTGGGTGTCCCTGTATGGCTGAATTTCAGGGGGAAAGCCTTGTAATTTATTGGCCATGATTATACATGTTTAAACCATGTTGGTTAATGTAAACTTTGGTTAGATTTTTTGAGAGGTGGTTTAGCAGGTATATCTGCAGGGGGAGTCAAAACAATTATGGTGGCCACAACCATGCAATGAAAGCCCTGCCCCCTTTTTATGCACATAAAGGGGTGGTGCCTCAACTGCATGGTTGTGGCCACCATATTGACTTTTTTGCCTGCCCACTCCCACAAATGCTTTTGTGGTTTAGCACGTCATAGGCGCCTGACTTGTTTGGTTAGTTTATGGTTCAATGTATTGTGGGATCCCGGAAAAGGTTAATTTGGTAGCCAAATTAACTGTTGTGTGAATACAGCGATTGATGTTAATTATCTGAGTGATGCTTACATCACTTATAAATTAAGTTGAATTCATTCATTACATTACATTTGTTCCCTGCAGCAACCGGTTTAACTCTCAGTAGCCTGATTGATTGACTATGTGCCATCAAGTCATTTTTGACATAGACTTTCTCCATGACGATCTATCTCTAACCGCTTCTTTCAAGTCTCCCAACATTGCACCCATCGCCAATGTAACTGAGTCCAACCACCTTGCTGCTGGTCATCCTCTTCTCTTTCCTTCCACCTTTCCCAGCATTAGAGCCCTTTCCAGAGAGCTGGGTCTTTGCAGAATGTGTCCCAAGTAGGATAATTTGAGCCTAGTCATTTATGGCTCGAGTGAGAACTCTGGGTTGATTTGATCCATCGGTTTGTTTTCTTGGCTGTCCACGGTATTCTCAGGAGTCTTCTCCAACACCAAAGTTCAAAGGCATCAATACTCTTCCTATCCTGCTTCTTTAAAGTCCAACTTTCCCTTCTATAAAGTGTCACAGGGAATACCATGGCTTCTGTGATTCTGATCTTTGTAGGTAGGTATAGACACATCACAGCATTTGAATAGTAGCTTACATGTTAGAAAACAAATTTAAAAGGTTCACAGTAAGTTTAAAACAATAAAACTTTGTAATAGCACAATTAGAAGAAAAGATGCTCTCCCTCGAACAGCTTTGTCCTTAACATCTTCCTGACTGCGTCCAGGGAGGTTGGGCCAATTCAGGCTGGATCAGGTGGTCCTGCATGTACCCAGCTGCCAAGCCATAATTAATAAAATAAATGAAATTAACTTCATTTAAGTTAAATAAGTTATCTTAACTTCCAAATCTGCTTGCTTGCTTGCTTGCTTTATTTATTTGGTTCGTCTTTCTCCTTTCTTCCCAAGGAATACTCTAAACAGTGCTGGAAAATTACAGAATGTACAGAAACAGGTCAGATTAAAATTAATATAAGATATGTTGGCCTTTTGGGCAAGATCTCTAAAGTTTTGCAGAATAATCTAGTTTAAAACAGATTGGAGTGTCAGCCACAAGATGGTGCACTGTTACTGAATTTCGGAGTCCCTGGTGCTCCATTGCTTACCCATGTGCATACTGTCTCCTTTTCTTGTAAGAAACGGAGGATTTT